TCTTTTGACAAAAGGATGAAGTCTCTATCTGTCAGGGAAGCCGAGATATTGCAAAATAAAAAAGGTCTTCAACTTTTGAACAGCACTTTTTATATAAAAATTAACCCGGTCCTGAAAGGGTTAATAATCCAAAACGAGTATATAAAGCTCCACTTCTTTTCTTTTCTCTTTTATTTGTGTTCTTTTTCTTTTCTCGTACGGGAATGATGTTTGCTGTCTGTGCACTTACACACACGCACAAAACGCTCATTAATATGAATGAAATCGAAAGAAGAAAAAAAAAGAATCAAAACCACACAGTTAATTTCTTGAAGAGGAAAAGATGGAGAGAAAAATTCACACACTTTTCATATGCAAAATGCGATGAAGCTTATTTCATGGAATAGAGTAAAAAGTACTTTTTTCTGAGTATGCGTATGTATGTGTGTTCTATTCTGTCAAGGTCGAGAGTATGTTTTCTTTCTTTCTTCGTTTGTGGTTTCTTTTATTGGTATATATATATATATATATACACGAAGATATGTATAGAAGAGCGACATACGGCCAAATATTTTTTTGAAATACAATAAACATATGGCAAATTTTTTCCTTCTAAAAGAATCTGTTGAGTGAGACATAACGACATTTTTTTTCCGTAAGTTTTGAGTTGTTCTAGACGCAAATAGAAAAAAAAAGAAGCAATTCTACAAGAAATAATATTTAAAGTGTTATGAAAGACAATTTTATACATTGTTGTTAACAAATGAACACCGAGAAAATGTTCAGTGCATAAAATTATTGATTTTTGTCTGACTACTTGTTTTTGTTGTTTTATTTGTTACAGTTTTGTTCATGAATTGTTTTTTACACTGTCTTCCATTATCTCTATTTTGTTGATACACCTTTTCTTCTAGTTATTCAAAGTCAAATTCTGCAACATTTATATCAACTATTAAGAATCTTAGAACTCTTGTCACTTCCTGTTTAAAACACATACAATGAAAAAATTCTCTCTTCCGCTCGAAGAATGAGTCTGTTATTTCTAGTCAAGTTTTTGAAAATCCAGAATAACATTCTCTTTTATCAACAACTGTACATCAAAAATTTTAATTTCTTTATTTTTAAATGTTCAGTCGTTTTTATTCTGTTTCATTTTAGTGCAATTCGAGCATTTCAACAAGTATTATATACCGATTCAAATTTTCCACGTCGTGCTGAAGTTCATATTCGTCTCGGTTTTATTTATAAACAATTACTTGATTATAAATCGAGTTTAAAACATTTTTTACGTTCATATAATGATTCAACATTAGCTAATGGTTGTACGTTAAGTAGACAAGAAATTTTATTTATTATTGGACGTTTGTATGAAATACAAGGTTATCTACAGCAAGCATATGATACATATGAAAAATTAATATCAACATTTGCTCCTCCTGAGCAGACAGTATCATCTCCAAACGGTGAACAACGAAACGATCATAAGTTAGAAGCAAAAGTATTAAGACAGTTAGGTTGGCTTTATTATTATAGTGGAGATTTACAAACAGGACAAGATAAAGAACAACGTTTGAAAAAAGCAATTCATTCATTAGAAACATCTATTAAATACGATAATACATGTGGAATATCATTTTATTATTTGGGACGATGTTATGCAGCATGTAAAAAACATACGGAAGCCTTTTTTACCTATAGAAATTGTGTTGATAAATTAGATCAAAATGCTGACGTTTGGTGTTCAATCGGGTACGAGTTATAAAACTTATTCTTTTTTTATACTATATTAATTCATATCGCTCTAATACTTTTAACTGACTTCTCGCTATAATTCATAATAGGAGTGCATCGGTTATTTTTTCGTATTTTTCAAAAATTCACAATAAATGTTTTGTATTTTCATAAAAACGATTTGCAACATTTTTCTAAAACGGCAGTTTTGTAGAGAAAACATTTCTCTACA